CTGTTGGATGCTGATGTTCTGCCTTAACTTGCTGACAAGTAAGGCATCGACTAATGTATTCAGCTATTTCCCTCTTCATACCAGACCACAAGTAACTTTCTTTCAAATCACGATACATTTTCGTGCCCCCCGGGTGCATGGCATAAGCCGATGAATGAGCCTCCTCTAAGATGGACTTTCAGAGCTCATCATCTGACGGTACACACACTAGGTCACGAAATAACAAGAGACTATAATCTCTTTCCCTGAAATGCTCCACCGGTCCCGCTTGCATGTGTTCCCGGGCCTTTATAAGTTCTACGTCAGTCTCTTGACCCTTCTTGATCTCATCAAGTAAGGTCGGCTCACCTCGAACCGTGCTAATAAGGCACCGTCGCTAGATACATCCAATTGGGCCCTCAGTGCCCTCAAACTAGTCAACAATGCCCCAGACGAACTCTTCCGACTAAGGGCAACTGCTACAACGTTTGCCTTACCTGGATGGTACTCAATAACTAGATGGTAGTCCTTTATCGACTCCATCCACCGTCTCTGTCTCATGTTTAACTATTTTTGAGTAAACACGTACTTCAAGCTCTTATGATCAGTATATATGTGACATGTCTCTCCGTAGAGATAATGTCTCCAATTCTTCAGTGCAAACACTACTGCTCCCAGCTCCAGATCATGGGTAGGATAATTTTACCTCATGCTTCTTCAACTGTCGTGAAGCATAGGCAGTTACCCTCCCCTCCTGCATCAACGCACACCCAAATCCTTGGATGCTCGCGTCACTATAGACATCGTACCCCACACCCTGTTTGGGTAATGCAAGTACCGGTGCCTCGGTCAATCTCTTCTTCAGTTCGATGAATCCTTTCTCACATTTGTCATCCCATATAAACTTAGCTCCCTTTCGAGTGAGCTTCGTCAATGGCGATGCTAAAACTGAGAACTTCTCCACGAATTATCTGTAGTAACCCGCTAGCCCGAGGAAACTACGAATCTCCTTCACGTTCTTAGGCCTTTCCCATTATGTGATAGCCCCAATCTTCTTGTTATCCACGGCAATGCCTGACTCAGAAACTACATGCCCAAGAAAGCCAATCTCTTTAAGCCAAAACTCGCACTTAGAGAACTTGGCGCAAAATTGCTTCTCTCGTAGTGTTTCAAGATCCAGGACCAAGTGCCGCTCATGTTCTTCTTCACTCCTTGAGTAAATTAAGATGTCATATATGAACACAATCACAAATCGGTCCAAGTATATATGAAATACTCGATTCACCAAGTCCATGAATGCCGCTGGGGCGTTTGTTAACCCAAACGACATAACAAGGAATTCAAAGTGCTCATACCTTGTGCGAAAAGCACTTTTTGGTATGTCATCTTCCTTAATCTTCGTTTGATGGTAACCCGACCTCAAGTCAATCTTTGAAAACATAGTCGCCACTCGTAGTTGATCAAACAAGTCGTCAATCCTAGGCAAGGGATACCTATTCTTGATTGTGACCTTGTTCAGTTGACGATAGTCAATACACATTCGAAGTGTCCCATCTTTCTTTTTCACAAAAAGAACTGGTGCTCCCCACGGGGAGTGGCTTGATCTAATGAAACCATTATCCAAAAGCTCTTGCAATTGGGTTTTCAACTCGTTAAGTTCAGCGGGTGCCATACGGTATGGCGGTATGGAGATTGGTTTGGTACCAGGCTCGACCTCGATCACAAATTCAATCTCCCTATCAGGTGGAAGCCCCGGTAGGTCTTTAGGGAAGACATCCGGATACTTACAAACCACCCTCACATCATCGATGTTCGTTTCCTCTTTGGTTTTGTCAACCACGTATGCTAGATATGCGTGGCATCCCTTTCTCATCATACTTCTCGCTCTCACGGCGGATATGATACAGCTATTTGATCTCCCTCGATCGCCCTCGAAGCGTAGGGTCTCCCCATCATTGCCTTCGAGTTTAAGAACCTTCGTGTATCAATCTACCCTAGCATGGTTCCTTTCTAGCCAATCCAACCCTAGGATTGCATCGAATTCAATCATGCTCAGCGGTACGAAGTCACACGTCAAGGTTTGACCATTAACTTCCACCCCACAAGATGGATAGTAATGAGTTGTTTCCACGTCATCCCCTAGTGGTGTTGATACCACTAAGGTTTGCATCAATGGTGCGGATTGCACTTCCAAACTCTTGGCGAACGCTTCATTCACAAATGAACGTTGCGCCCCGGGTATCGATAAGGATTCGCGCATCCTTCCCATTAATCTTTAGTGTCCCTACATTCATGAACCATGTAAGACATCTTTCCTACCATCCCTACTCATTTAGAGAGGTTTATTATGTTCACACACGTGTTTGGGATCAAGAACGGGTCTTAACGTTGCAATACGGCGCGAAAAAGTCGACTTTGGGCTGTCCAGGAGGTACGCACGGCGTGCCTAGGAGGTACGCACGGCGTGCATGTCTTATAACCTCAAAACGGAGCTACTGCCACCAACGCATGGACCAACGCACGGGCAACGCACATCCGTGCGTATAGCAATTTCTTCCCGGTTGCTACTGCCACCAACGCACGGACCAACGCACGGACAACGCACGGCCGTGCGTATAGCAATTTCTTCCCGGTTGCTACTGCCACCAACGCACGGACCAACGCACGGACAACGCACGGCCGTGCGTATGGTCCAGCCTGGTGTGCGTTGGCGGAAATCAGCCGTCTTTCGCCCGATTTCGCTCCGTTTGATCCCAAAATTTCGTGCAATGATCCCAACGATTAGTAACCTTAATTTATGGACTAATTAAGGATAAAACACTAGTATACGGGAGACAATACCTGCAACGGAATCCGGGTTAGCTTGAGCATCCGCCTCTGTCATCGCATAGACCCTAGCTTGGGTCCTTCCTTGGTTCACGGATGGCGCATTGCTCGTGCTTGCTCCCCCATGTCCCCTGCTCCCTTGAGAAACCTCGGTTTGGTTTTCATTTCTTGTAGTTCCACCACTTGACCCCGAAGTTTGGTTTTGCACAATTTGTGGGCAGCTCACTCTCGTGTGCCCGACCTCTGTGCAATGATAGCACTTAGGAGGGTCGTGACACTTACCCGAGTGGTGTTTCTTGCAATTGTTGCACCTAGGTACCCTCGGACCCTTTGACCTCGAGTTCTGGCCACCCGAGCCCCGACTCCACTCAAGTGATAGTGTCTGCGCCCTGAAGGTTTTGTCACCCTCAACGTTTGTCCTTCTTGAATGTCTTTGGGAATCGTTGTCTCCCCACCTCCTTTTCCTTACTAACGGTATGCCCTCAGCTTGCCTAGCTTGGCGTTTTTGTATAAGCCTCACACGTTCACGTTGAAGCCAATCTATGACCATGCCCATTTGTTCAATGGGTGCACCATCAAGGTTCTCATCACTCAAATCATCTCCCTCGTCACCCGAAGCCTTGAGTGTTTCAATTTTGCTATGACAAGGTGATTCTTCATTGGTTCTAACATGACCGCCACTCACGATTTGAGCTTCTAGAATTTCGTGAACCTTTATTCCTACGGGCTTTTCTCGGTTGGCATGCCCGGTTCCACCCGGTGCAAACCCTTCCGAGTTCTCCCTATTCATAGTACCACAATCACCCTCCATCACTGAAAGAAATAATTGGAATGAGTCATTAGACTCGTTTCAAATGTCAACTGACAGATAGGTACTTAAGACATCTCTTGGGCCAAGTCGCCGCCATACCAATCGTTAAGGGCGCCATCTTAACAATTAGAGACCTTGCAACTCAAACACCAAAAGTTCTTAAGTACAAAACGTTTTTGCTCATGGTTTTCAAAAAAACATTTTGAAAAGAGAATTTTGAGACTTCATTATGAAGTTTATGGACTAAGTCTCTGATACCAACTTAATTGTCACGCCCCGGACCTATCCGGACACGTCAACAACCCGCCGTACAATACGAATAGTCAACCGCAGTCCAACACATTCATATTATACAAGGCGTCTTGAATATCATTCACACATATACATCCATAAACAAACATAATAAGTAATTCATAACGCAGCGGAAACATTGTTTAAAACAAAAGGGCCACACAAGGCATTTCATGAGCACGCAGGCTCCATAGTAAAATATCCATGAGCATGTTTAGAAAGGTTTAAAAACAGAATGGAGGAAGCACGAACCAAGTCTTCCCTCCTATATGATCTCTCGAGCAACGAGCACAGGAAGCAAGCTCTAGCCTCAACCTGAAAAATGGTGGTGGGACGCCCCCGAAGGGGTCAGCACTCTATAGGGCTATAAAGTGCTGGTGTGGCAGGCATCTAATAGATATACAACAAGTATTTCACACACAAGACCCTCAAATAGGGTGATAATATAGTATAGGCCGTAATCCCAGATTACCCCTTTCAAAATACATACTTACTTTATATAAAGTCAAGTAGTCGGCTCAAAGGCCCGTGTTTGTTATAAAACATTTCCCAAACCCCGTGACTAATAGTCACGACAATACATAGGGTCCAACCCTAATATAACTTCTCATTTCTAGAGTTAGGCTCGAGTACATCATCATGCACTCGCATCATAGATCTCCTACTTCATATAATCATACCATAGATCTCCTACTTCATGTATTCACCCCATAGATCTCCTACTTCATACAATCCCACCATAGATCTCCTACTTCATATAATCACACCATAGATCTCCTACTTCATATAATCACACCATAGATCTCCTACTTCATATAATCACACCATAGATCTCCTACTTCATACAATCACACTTGACACTTGAATCTTATTCAAGTTCATCACAAACAACTCAAACCTTAAGTTTGATTCTATCAACATTTTGAACAATCCTTAACTAGCATCACAATACTATTAAGATTATTCCTACAACTCATTTATCATAAATGGTAGCCCCTCCATATCAATAGATATGTGGCAGCCTCCCATGTGCTAAGCATCATCATGAAATTATACATTTACATACACATAACATTCATACATGAGTTGGAAGGTCAATTTACCATATTAGCATACTTTTATCTCACATGACTCCATATTCATCAATATGGTTTCAATTCATGGTCAAGTCCATTACTTATCATTCATATCATGTTCAAGCATATTTATTCACAAAAACATGATTCAAGCATTTAGGTAATCTCATGCATAACCTACAAGTTGTAAGCAACTAGATGTCGGTCCTCACCTCAAATGAGCTTTAAAACCTTCCTTCTCGCTCCAACGACCAAAGCCTCGGCCAAGAAGGTTTTAGAACTGATTCCTTGCTTGGAATTGAGTGTTAAACAGCCCCCTCAAAGTGCTAGTTCAACTCCTAACTGAAGACGCAAAAACAGTCCCTAGAACGGGTGTTTCCCGACGAATTCGTTCCCTAACCTTTCAAGGTTTTGTCTAGGTTAGTATCTAACCTTTCCAACAATTAAAGTCACTTTATAATAACATTTTATACACTTCAATCAGTGTATAATAGTTCTTCAATCATTTATACGATTTAGACAATAGAGAGGAAGATTTTGGATTCAAACTTACTTTGAATACAAAAACGTATTCTGCGAGGTTGTGTTTTGCTCGGACGATTTGGAAGCCTTCCACTACTCCGATTGATGCAAACCAGACATCCACGGATTCCTCGTCTTGAGAGCTTTCTTTTGGTATCTTATACGCCTTAATTGGACGAGTGAATCTCGAGTTATGGCTCAAACAATCAGAGCTACGCACTGAAGAACGAACCTGCGGACAGCTTGCTCTCTCTTTGGCTTATCTTGGTTATGTGGCTCTCTCCTTCTCTCTTATCTTGGGTATTTCGAATGGGGTGTAGGGGGGAGTGTAAAGGATGCCTTAAACATGCTAAGAGAGCATGTGGCTCACAAAAGAGCATGGGAGACATTGGTTTGCAATCAAATGTGAGGTGGACCTCCACTTTTATTTCTTTTTGTAATGTATTGCTCTTAAGTCAACATGCTCGCCCCATATAGTCATCTCACCCATTTTTCTTTGTCTTGCAGGTACTCAAGTCATGTGGAGTGGTTCCCAATTGATCCCAATCATTTTGGGGTCCAAAATATATATCAATACTTCCAAAAATGGGAAGATGGGTCCTATAGTTTCATCTTTTGTCAAAGATGTCTTTTTGTACTCATCCTAATTTATTTAGAACAAGTCAACTTCCTCCATCACATTATTGATCTCCAATATGTGTAGGTTCATCACAATAATTTACTTGATGGATATCATAGCAGGAAAATCCTACTCCCATTATTTAGCTCAATAATGCCAAAGATGGGGTTATAGGCATTTGTATTCTTCTTTAATCATTCTATCACTTATTTGACATTTGTCATACATATTATTGGGCTACTAGCCGTGTGGGTCACTCCCGAGTGGGTCTAGAACGTCATTCTCGAATACTTGCTATTTTTAGCAGGTTGGGCCCCAAAAATGTTTGGGCCGCCCGACCTTCCTCAAATTGTCTTGAAAGATTATGTATCACTATTTAGATAATGTTGGGTTTTTTATTTATTTATTAATAAGTCCCGAATAAGTATTTGCAAAACCCGACACTAATGTACGAGTTTGAATAGTACGATATTCAACCATGCACTACGTAGAACATTAATCGTTTTACAATTGTTTGGAGTCGGAAATTCGATATATATATTTGAATTTAAATTGAATTTTCAAGGACGTTCGGGTGCGGTGTCACAGGATGGGTCTTCCTAATCTAATGGGCCAGAAATGGGCCGAGGTAAGCCCAAGTGGGCCAGGGTGGCCAAATTGAGCCTCGCGGACCAGGCCCGGCATGGGGGCAGTGTCTTGGACCTCTGAACAGTAATAGGCCGGGGTAATATACCCCAACAATACTCATTTAAGTTTAACATAAAACTCATTTCTAATTAGTTCAATATTCATTTATGTATGTTCATTTTTTTTTAAGTGTATACTCATTTGAGTTTAATATATAGCTCATTTGAGATCACTAATATTAAATGAGTACACATTAGTTACAAAATGAGCATTCAAAAAATAAAAAAACTCATTTAAAATGTGCAGTATGCACAAAATTTCTTTTGTATATGTTCATATATGTACAACTACGTATAGCTAATGTTTCTCCTGACTTAAATCCAAACAAGTTACCAAAATCATTGAACCTAAACCTAGTAAAAAAACCTAAACGAAAAGAGTTCAACAAAAGAAAAGAAAGATCACAGGCGAGCAGCCCTACTCATCCATCGGAGTTGTGGTCTGCGACAACGAGTGACGAGCACCAGTGAATAGGGAAGGGAGCGATCGAGCAAGCGGCCGGCGAGGGTAGCGAAACAGATCGACGGCGAGGGTAGCTGGTAGATCGAAGAAGGAGAAGGTAGCGCGCAAAGGAATGAAAACGCCGGTTGTACCGTGCGCACGGTACAGCCGAATGTACCGTATATTTTATGGAAAGTGAACGACAATAGTGCATTCTTTTAGACCAATTGTACGAAGGACTAGTATCAAGAATACCGTGTATTTTATGGAAAGTGAACGACAATAGTGCATTCTTTTAGACCAATTGTACGAAGGACTAGTATCAAGAATACCGTGTATTTTATGGAAAGTGAACGACAATAGTGCATTCTTTTAGACCAATTGTACGAAGGACTAGTATCAAGAATCCCGAAGAGGTGCATGTCGAGCTAGGTCAAGGATTCAACCTTTTGGACAAAGAATTGGTGAGGCTTTCTTTGAATTGTCAGTTCACGTCTTCACGCTCACAATTTTGAATGATTCGTTCCCATCATTTAAGGGTTCACAATTTTCTCCTCAGATCAGAGCGTCAGCACACTACTATATACTCCGTACATCAATTTGTCGATCCATATTGCCCTTTAATTCATCTCGGTGAAATTGGAAACATGCTCTTGGAAACGTAGTACGGAGTATTAGATTGAATAACAAAAGTATTAGATAGTGTGTAATAACAAAAGTAGAAAAAAGCTTTTGAAAAATTAAGAGTTGTTATTTTTTGGTAAAAAAAGTTCTTTGAAATGTTTAACTTTAAGGAAAAAATAATTAAAATACTCCAAACTTTGAGGGGTGTGAGGTAAGCACCCCAAACTTGCATATGTAATTTAAATACCCCAAAGTTTTTATAAAAAAATTATTTTAACACCATGGTCATGCATTATTTCTTTCCAAAATATTAATTTTTTGTGTTAATTTCATAATTTAAAATATTTTAGCATTCATGCCATGAAGATACAATTAACATTCTAAACATCCGTTGTAAAATAAAAAATAGTTAAAATACTACCCCCACTCTATATAATTGCAACATTTTTTATTTGCTACTCCTTTTAAATTATGCAATTAACACCTTAAATTTCTATTTTTGAAAAATTAATAATATATGACCATGTTGCTAAAATAACTTTTAAATAAAGTTTGGGATATTTAAATTACATATGGAAGTTTGGAGTATTTATCTCACACTTCTTCAAAATTTGGGGTATTTTATTTATTATTCCTTTAACTTAATTAGGTAGAATTTGAAATTTAAAAACAGTTTTTTCAATATTTTTAACCAAAAACATTGGACCAATCAAATGAATGAGGTATGATATCCGGTTTTTAGTACCGGATTTCTCACCCAAATTGAAATGGCGTTCATTTAGGGAGTGTTTGCAACTGCTTCTGCTTAAAAAACACTTTTGGAGATGTAAGGAAAAAGTGATTAGTAGGAAAAGTTGATACTGTTTGAGAAAAAAGTGATTTTGAAAAGTAAAAGTTGGTAGTGTTTGGTAAAATAAGTGTTTTTTGTGTAATAGAAAAGGAAAAAACACTTTTCACACGCAAGCCGAGAAAAAGTAAAAATTGGTAGTGTTTGGTAAATAAATGCTTTTTTAAGCCAAAAGTTGAGAAATGCTTTTTTTTAAGTGATTGCAAACACTCCCTTACTCATTTTGCTGGATCTCTTTATTTCCTTTCAACCATTACTCACTCCTATTGCTTATACTATCATATATAGATCGTATTACCATACGAGTATACGACTGCCTGGATAGGTAAGCCATTATTCCATCACAAGCTTATACTCCGTACGGAGTATTTTTTAGTACAATTTTTGTTGTAAATGGGGCTTTACTATTACAAAAATTCCTTTTGTACACGTTTTTGTACCCATCAGTACACGCATGTGTCTGTGAGAGTTTTTTTTTGTCTGTGAAGTGCGGTCCACAGACAAAAGCTGGTTTGTTTTGTCTGTGAAATTTTCCACAGACAAAACAAGCGAACTTATGTCTGTGGACCGCGCTTCACAGACAAAAAAAAACTCTCACAGACACATGCGTGTACTGATGGGTACAAAAACGTGTACACCAAGAATGGTTGTTACTATTATACTACACATTTGCATACGTTCTTGAAAGTTTCTTTTTGTTTGTAAAGACAAAACATGTGTGTATAAAAGGGTATTTTTTTCTTCTATTTTCTACGTATGTTGCCTTTACCTTACCGTCGATCAAATTAGAATAAACAGGGACGGACCCAGGAAATTCATGTTGAGGGGTTCATATATTTTTTGAGGGCGAAAATTATTACTTTTTGAGAGGGCGAAAATTATTTTTCTTATATATACGCACTAAAATTAAATTTTGCTGGAGGAACGGTAACCCACTGGGTCTGTACTACGGTTCGCCCCTGAGAATAGATGTTGTGGGCTTGAATTATTAGTGTATTAAAAAAGGTTGCACACAACATGATATTGCAAATTTGCAACGTGCATGAATAATAATAAGATGCTCTCTAGCATCCATTTGTTCTTTGAGTTGAGATTCGACCACAATGCAAGAGTTATATTGTTACTTTTAACAATTATAACATTTTAAAAACTCGTATAGGATAGGCATCTGATTGTTTTTAAAACACATCTCTTAATTGTAATCCCAACAGTGAAAAAAACTAAACTAATATTCAAATTTTAACCAAAAGATACTTTATTGACTTTGGTTAATAATTAAAATGCATAAACAAAAAAAAAGTCAAGAAAAGGTGTGAAGTTAAAAGCCCTATAGATTTCCGGACACAATATTAAGGGAGTATTTGCGATTACTTGTGCTTTTAAAAAGTGGTTTTTTAAGAAATTTTTGGAAAAATGATTTATAGTAAAAGTAGATAGTGTTTGGGAATAGAAGTGGTTTTAATTACAATGTAAAAGTTGAACTGTTTGGTAAAAAAGTGATTTTTGATGTAATGTATAGTTAAAATACAAAAATATCCCCAATTTAAATAGTGCATCCACGGCTGTCTCCTTTATCCCTTTTCCCCATTTCCGATGGGCTGGAGTGCGGTGGGAGATTCTTCTGGTGAGTGCCAAAGGGTTCAATAATATGTACATCTTGGTATTCTCGAATCTGGATTGCTAATATGTTGTTTCTAGGTATGTGGAGTTTAAGAACTAGTAGTGAATGGATTTGATTTAATACACACACAGAGAACATTGGTAAAAGGAATCTGGGCAGATCGGCGGCCGAGCAGACCGGCGACGACGAAACAGATTGACGGCGGCGAAGCAAATCCGCTGCGGGAGTGGCGATGGAGAATTTCTATTTGGTGGACAAGGCCAATCAGCTATGGTGCCGGTGAAGTGGATCAACTACAGTGGCACCGGAGAAGAGTGGTGGACCTTCTTGCCGGCGGCAATTTCTGGTTGATGGAATGTGGGTGTGGCGTACGATGCTTGTTGGTGATGGAAGATGGTCTGTGTACGATACTTGCTGGGGATAAGGGTACTTTTGTATTAATTTATATACAAGTATTCTGAAATAAAAACATCCCAAAAGTTGAAGTTATTTACGGAAATACCAAGAAGCAGAAAAAAGCATCCCTAGACCTGCTTCTGGCTTTTGTCTTAAAACTAATTAAATTAAGCTGAATTTTTCTTTTGCAAACACTACATTTAGCTTTTACCCCCCAAAAAGCTGAAAGTGCTTTTATTAAGCAAAGGCAAACACTGCCTAAGGCTCTCTTTGCAAACACTTGTGTTTAAAAAAGCATTTTTTTGGAAAAAATGATTAGTAGTAAAAGTTGGTAGTGTTTGATAAAATAAGTGCTTTTTTTGTAATAGAAAAAGTAATAAATAGATTCTACACGAAAGCCGAGAAAAGTAAAAGTTAGTACTGTTTGGTAAAATAAGTGTTTTTCTAACCAAAAAGCTGGGAAGTGCTTTTTTTTAGTGTTTGCAAACCTAAAGGCCTTAAAGCTAGCATATATTTTGCTTTATCATTTGTATTTGCCTAATGCCTCCTATTGTTTTAGAGTGCTATTTTCAATCAAGTGCTTCGAAATACTCCCTACGTTCTACTAAGATTGTCTCGTTTTATTTTTTCGATCCGTCCCACTAAGATTGTCTCATATCAAATTTGGTAAAGTTTGTGTGGCTCTAAATTATTTTTACTTTATTCTTACTTTATCAATTCAATATCAACCACATAAACCACTTTTATTGATTTGTGTGTCACTGTCTCTTGTCCCGTTGTTAATGGGACGCAGGGAGCACT